AAGGTAATCAACACTTGGGCACGTCCAGTCATTAGATACCCAGCGGGAATAGTGGACTGGACTCACAAAGAACTAAAAGTGATGGATAGGAAGACCAGAAAAATAATGACAGTGAATCATGCTGTCAGGCCTGCAGCCGGTTCCTTTTGGGATCTTTGGCCTCCCACATTTCTATCTACTATGCTGTTTCTATAGTTGGGAAATGGGAGGGGAATAGCAAGGAGTAGGATGTGATGTAACCAAAATAAAATTCCTTTTAGATTGCCAAGGTCATCCTTTGTCTCTGCACCTCTGCACCTGACCGGAACTGGATGGGTGGAAGCTGCCAGCATGGCAGTGGGAGATTGGACCATGGGATGGATCTGTGGGTGTGGGGGCAAGATCTTGAACTTTCAACTGGGTGGGGAAAATGGGAAGCTTTCAGATTTGGGTTTTCCCAGATGTGCCAACATGGCTCTCTTCATAAATTGGATCTTTGAGTAATACGTTGCCTTGGACTCTGATTTAATTTTGGATGTTATTTGGAACCCTGACACATGCCCCTCATCCTCACAGTGACTTTGGCTGACTCTACCTACCAAGGCAAATAGGTGGGCGTAGGATGTTGCAAGTACATCAGATGGTTGAAGAAGAAGAAGAAATTGTTTTGGAAGACTATCTGAAGGAAAATGAAGAAGATGCACTGAAGTTAGTATGCCAGGAAGGCTTACTGGCTACTGGAAAGACCAAACTGCCCTACAAGAAAGACCAAATAAAGAAAAGAATGGAGGCATGGGAAGACAAAGCACTACATGGCCAGTACATTAAAAAAAAGTAGCAGAGAAAGGAGATAATAGCGAGACCTGGCAATGGCTAAGAGCAGGGAAGTTGAAGAAAGACCGAGGGACTAATTCTGGCTGCACAAGACCAAACCTTAAGGACAAATGTACAGAAAACCAGACTTGAGAAGACAGCAACAGACAGTAAGTGCCCCCTATAAGCTGTTGCAAGAAAATCCCACAAACTGACTGCAAGCAGCGGCATGAAAAAAAGTAGCAACAATGGTGCTTGGAAGATCTGCAAGAAATACCATTTGCCTCTAAGGAAGAACTAGTGGGACTCATAGAAAATAAAGAAGTTAAATTGCTCTGGGACTTCAGAATCCAGACAGACAGGCACCTGCCACATAACTTAACGTTGTCGATAAGATGTGGCAGTGCCTGGACACAGCAGAATAAAAGAGAAAGAACTGGAGAAGATACAAAACACAAATACCTACAAATAGAAATAGAACGACTATGGCAAAGGCAAGCAAGGGTAGTACCAATAGTAAGAGGAGCATTGGGAGCAAACCCAAAACACCTGGAGCATCACTTGAACACCATCGGCATTGACAAATTTGCCACCAGTCAATTGCAAAAGGCAGCTTTACTTGGAGCAGCTTCCATCCTGCGACAATATCTGTAACAGCATCAAACATTTCGATCTGCCATCCCAGGTCCTTGGTAAGAACTCGATAGGTAGACAAAAATGCCAAGCCCAGTCTAAACATCTGGCTGACTGTGCAATGATAGTAGTAGTAATAAAAGATAAAATTCTGGCAATGATTTACAACTGGAATGTTTTAAAAAATGAAGATTTGATTATGGCTGCTCAAGAGCGACCTATTCAAACTAATTCATTTTTTTCCTTAAATTTATTGGCCGCCTATTTTACCACAGGGTAACTAATGCGATCAAAGTCAGAACCCCCCCACCCAAAAAAAAATCATCAAATGATCCCAGCCAAATTCAAAATCCAACCATTTGTTTAGGATGCTCCACCGCATTTTGAGTGTTTTCCTTTGAGTCGATCTAGACTGCTGGGGACCAACCTTGCATGGCATCAAAAAGGGTTTGTCATTGCCCTTTTCCTAGGATGGAGTCAACCATATCTCTGTCCTTGGAGGGAGGTCTCACTTCACCTGCTAGACCAGGTGTGTCAAACTCAAGGCCCGCAGGCTGAATCCGGCCCACGGGGCTGCCCTGGAAGCAGCAACGGACCAGCCTGCAGTGTCTCTGCCAGTGAAAACGGAGCTCAAGAGGGCCACATGGGGCCTTCTCAGGCTCCATTTTGGGCCGCAATGGCCTCCTGCAGTCCCCTGCCAGCAAAAACAGAGCTCGGGTGGGAGGATGTGCACACACACACACACACACACACACACCCTCCATTTTTGCTGGCAGAGGGTTAGCAAAACAAAAATGAAACGAAAGGAAAAATGTTTTCCCCTTTTGCATTTGGAGCATGCAAGAAGGGACAGGAAAGTAGAAAAGGAAAGAGGGAAGACAAAGAAGGAAAGATGGGAAGAGAGCAAGGAAGGAAAACTAAGGAAGGAAGGAAGGAAGGAAGGAAGGAAGGAAGGAAGGAAGG